ATAATTTGAACGTTTTAGGTAGTTCGTTTTGTAATTTTCTTTAAAAGTAAGAAATCAATTGTTACTGTTTTTATGAATTCTAAAGGTGTTAAATAAAGTAATGCTGTTCTTTATGTAGTAATTATTATTCATTTTTAAGTTTTGTGAACTGTTAGGAATATAATTTGTGCATTTGATCAAGATAAACTAACTGTTCTGTTGTTAAAATTTTTTTGCGTAAACTTACAAATTTGTGGGAAGTATAGCGATAAAACTAACTAAATTTTTACACAACTGAACATGTGGAAAGATGTATCCAAAATTTATATAGGTATATTTCTGTAATTCAGCTTCTTAATTCAAGGCAATTTCTTTGAGATTCATAAATATGAAACGCGCATAAAACTGAAATCACTGAATTCACATAAATCTATTTTATTTTATTAATATTTTTTTTTTTTTTTGTTGTTGTTATAAAGTTGTTGGTTGTGAAAAGAATCTATTTTTAAATCTTTCATTAAAAAAAAATGCAACCTGTGACTATTTTTTTAGATAATTTCTGCTATTAATTTCAGGTTAAAATTATTTTAAATGATTCTTTAATAAATTATAATATTGTGAATAAAGCAGAAATATCACTTCTTAAAGGAAAAATTGGAAAGTACACCCAACAGGTTGCTAATAAAACCTAAACAAATTCTTGAAATGTGCAGAAACATCATTTTTAAAGGCTTTAATATTATGCACATACATTTAGATCTCGAACTATTTCTTAATGATTTTCTGTACGTAGTAAATTACGGATATCATCTTTATAACTTTAAAACAAAAAACTAACAATAGCAAGCATTTCATTATAAATTTTACATATTTTTATTGGAAAATGCATGCAGGGAACAGCTTAAAAACATGCACGTTTCACTGCCGTAATGCAATGTTTTGAGGTTACAAACATGGACGCCGCTTGTTGGGTGGAGTTTCATTCCCCGATAGTGGAGGAAACTGCGAACCCTCCTTCCTTCTATTCTAACCTCCTTGGTTTTGAACCGCTAGTGGGGATTTAGCGCAACAGGTGTCTAGAAACTGAGAATCTGAAGGAGTGACGTCACATCCACTACGGGAATTTTAGGTTCAAGATATCAGATGGAGGAAAATCGTTTAAGATATCTAATCTGAGAAAAGGGAATACAGCTTTGTACAATCATCAATTATTATTTTTATTTAATTTTATAGAAAATAACCTGATTTAAAATTATAATTCAGAATGTTAAACAACATTTTGTTAATTTTTATTATTATTGAAAATTCTTTGAATTAAAAAAATAGACAAATATCATTTATAAAAATCATACTTAAATATCTTATATAATGCTTTTTAAATTTAAAAAAAAATATAGCTAACAGGTTGATGTTATGGAAAATGATAAACAAATATTAAAATAAAAAGTTATTAATAAAAGCATTGTTTAAGACAGTATTTATAAGAAAAACAAAGTATACAAAATGTTAATATTATGATCAATATGTGGTGAATGAATTAACTATTGAAAAATGCAAATAAAGTGCTATATGTAAGCAACGCAAGCGATTGTGGAACCGCAAACTACAATAATTTACTTAACAATAAAATATTCACGGAAGTTATACTAAGATTGTAAAGCAATAAATGATTTTTAAAAAGTGGAAATATTAATGGTTACGATAAGGTATAAATACAAAATACAGTTGTAGGTTACTAACAAAATGCTGATTGCAACTATACACATGATTCTGGAACTTCTGATTAGGAACATATTCTACATTTAAAAACACTATAAATATTCACAAAAGTTATACTAAAATTAGAAAACAGTAATGATTTTAGCAAATGATCCTTGAGTATTTAATTTTATAGAAAATACCCTGATTTAAAATTATAATTCAGAATGTTAAACAACATTTTGCTAATTTTTACGTCAGCTAGTTTAATTTTCATTATTATTGAAAATTCTTTGAATTAAAAAAATAGATACATATCATTTTTATAAAAATCATACTTAAATATTTTATATAATGCTCATTAAATTAAAAAAACATTAGTTAACAGGTTGATGTTATGGAAAATAATCAACAAATATTAAAGTAAAAAGTTATATTAAAAAAGAAATAAAAATATTTATGATCTGAGCTCTTCTAATTTTTAAAGCATACAAATGTTTAAGAAATGTGTAATCTATGGATGGAAATAAATGGCTTAGTTAAAAAAAAAAAATAGTAATATTGAATAAATCATGTTTAAAATAATAATTTAAATATCACTTTCTTCTTTAGAATTTGAATTCTTGTTCAGAATTAAAGATAAGGCTATATTTTGTTGTTCAATAGGATTTGGTTTTACAATTGGATTTCTTGGTTTTTACGAATTCTACGTGTAGAGTACAAAGGTCTCTGACAGGTAATGTTTTTGTTTGCAGAGACTTTTTTAAGATTATCTTGTGACGTAAGTGAACAATTGGTTGATGTAATGGCATATATCTATTGGTGAAATTAGTCTTTCAACTGCTTCAAACTGACTATCTGATGATATAGAATCAATAACGCTTGTAATTTTTTTGTTTGAGTTTCTCTTTTTTAAGAGAAAGGTTTAGGTTTGATACAGGGAAATCATTTTTACTTAGCTCGAAAACTAATGAGTCTGACTCTTTATTTTGATCAGCAACATGCATATGTAATCATCATCGTTTTGAAGAATTACTTCTTCAGAATTATTTCCAGTGTTCATGGATTTTATTAGACATATTAAATGGATATGTTTGCACATATTCCATTTTATGCTAGAATCTATACAAGTACAAGTATAATTGTGAATACATGACTTGCACTCCAAGCAAGTTAATTGGCATTTGCAATCAATGCCTGATTGTTGTACAAAATACACCTCTTGGATTTCTGATGTTGAAATTACATTCCAGCCATTTTCAGTTTTCGAGACTAATTCATTAGGAAGCTTTAAGCTTAAATCATGTCTCTTACAAAGCTCAATTAACTTATTTGTGAGCTTTCCTTTATGCATGATTATTAGCCTATCAAATAATTTGTCTTTGATAAATTTCATAAGTATGTTTATCGATTTATCCAATTTTTTTATGTGTTTACCTCGTAAGTAAACATGCTTGATTGTGCGATGCATACTCTCAACATGCATATTGGCATTAATACCACAGTGTAACCTATGACAATATGCCCATGTTTCCACGCAGTTTGCATAATTAGATACAAAATATTTTCCAAATTCAGAAGTTTTATCATTATTTAACATCAACGAAATAGCTTCTGTTAACATTTTATGAAAAGCAGTGGAATCTCGCTCTTCCAAAAGTGTGCGTACTATTTTATACACCTTCAGTTGCTTTTCTGTTGAATTAATTTTTTTAAGATTATTTCTTCACGCACGGTCTACATGCCATGTACAAAATAATCTTTTCTTTGGAACTTCCATAACCTGGCACCAGGCACTTTAAAAAGAGTGTGCCATATCAGACATAAAGATATTAGCCTTAACAACTACAACTTTATTTTTTATGTATTTGAAAAATATCGAAAGGCAAATTTCATCAGTTCTGTTTGATATTAGAAATCCACATGGAAAGCCTTGTCTGATATCATTGAGACCAAGAATTGTTATCTATTCAAACTGATATGCATTCAATCCGTGTGTCCCATCCACACAAACACAATCTGAGCCGTATTTTTTTTAAATTTCAGATTGAGCATCTGTCATTATCATTAACACAAAATCTTAATTTTTTAATTCACTATGATGTTAATCAACAGTTCCCTGAGGTTTATAATAGAGGACAATGCTTTCATTGCTTCTCATTTCATTTACCCGTGCATTTACACTTGTACCATCATCTTTGTTTAGTCTGGGTTAAATTGTATCTATTTTCAATGTTTAGCAGATCTTTCCTTGTTGTGAGATGAATTCTGTCCAAGTTACAGCCAGATATCGTGTTTCGAATATCATTAAAGATAACATTCAATGGTATGTTTGAAGCAATTTTTGTTGCTAGAAGTTGTTTTTCTGTATTTGATAAAAACATGTGTTTAAGTTCACTTTCGTGACCGATGTGTGTTTTCATAAAAGAAACTCTGCATTGACCATTTTGATAGCTTTTATTTTTGATGGACAATATGAATTGCTCTCTCTTTTTTTTTTTTTTTTTGTAATTTTAGATGTCTTTTACCCAAAGATTTTGTTGCAAAATGACCTGAACAGTGACGGTTGAAATAGTGATATTCTATACCAGATGAAGTTTTTTTAATTCCACAGTCTTTTATATACACATCTTTTGTTTCTTTTTCAACACTGAGCTTCCATGCTTCAAACTCTTCAAAAGATGAAAATAAAAAATTATCACATTCAAGCCTAATATCCTGTTTGGAACCGAAATGGGTTTCAAAATTGGTTTTCAACCCTGTAAAATCACACAAAGGACACTCAAGAGGCTTATTATCTTTCTCTTTATGCCTTAAGAGCGTTTTGCAAAAGTGCACTTTGCAACTCCCATTTGAAGCCAATGTTAACTTTATTGATGATGAGCAGTACAAATTCATTTTCTTCGTTTCATTTTCAGTATTATCTTTAACTCTCTATTTTGAGCAATTACACACAAAATAAAAGTGTTGACTACCCACTTTATTTTTCTTACTTCCACCACAGTCTTTGATGAAACATGAATTCGTTTCACTTTCTAAGTTTGCTTTAAACTTTTCGAATTCCTCAAGTGAAGTGAACTGTAAATCATCATACTCAAGAGTAATGTTATGCTCGTTACATACATGAATTTTATCTCGTCCATTTTAGCACAGAAGTCCCACAAACTGCATTTTATTTCCACCATCTTTGAAAATGGCGGGAACAATTTTCTCCCCACTAGAGGGCGCCACTCTAAAATTCGGGTAGTGGATGTGACGTCAGTTTTTCAGATTCTCAGTTTCTAGACGCTTGTTTTAGCGCATGTTTTAGCGCTTGTTTTAGCGCATTAGAACCTTGGCGCATACCCCATTTCACAGCCATTCTGATTTGAGACGCGAGTAAGATCGAATCGAACAATTGGAGACTTTTGCTAACGATGGATAATTACTCCGAATCTTTAAGCGACTTTCTGATAGATGATCCAGAGTTGCTGGCGGAACTGACTTCATCAGAGAGTGATTTTGATGTTTTAATTCCACTAATGGACCAGTGTATTGAAAGAAATGTGATAAATGAAACAAATAGACCTCTTCAAGTCTCTGACAGTACGCGGGATGGATTTATAGTCGTAAAACCAGAATTTGCTGTGACTAAAGAAGTGCAAAATGCACATTTGGATTTATTCGTAAGGCGTAAAACACGCCTATCTGAAGATCGAGCTTTATTAAAAAAGAAATTTCCAAGAAGAAGCTTTCCTAAGATACATCAGAAAAACGAGTGGCGGACTTACTGTCTGGGAAAGCTTGATAAAGATACCGCTGCTGTCTTGAAACCAGAACTGCATGATGCTTGTGAGCCGAGGGCTGAAAACCGTGAATGGAGACTAGAACTAAAGGGCAATCCACCCTTACTCAGTGTCGTAATCCATTTAAAACAGCCAGCTGTAATACAGCTTCTACAATATCAGAAAGACTGGCTTAAAAAAGGTGCATACACGCATGATAATGGTCTGTGGATATATGCCTTATTGGCATGTCTTGAAAAGCCTATACACCCAGATACTGGTGCTATTCTACATTCTATATCAAGGCTTTGCTCTAGCTTCAAAGCTAAAATAAAAGATCCAGCCAGTGATATGTTGAAATCTTCTTTAAATATGATCATTTCGATCATAGACTGTTGCTTTAACCAACAAAACATGCCTAATGACTTTGTTTTAGGCGAATAGCTGCCACTGATTAACTATGCTAACTTTAACGTTATATCAATGAACAAAAGCATATAATATTGCACTATTATGTCCATTATATCATGCATAAAATATCTTTCTGTGTTTTTGTAGTACATCAACTTCTTATATTAAAAATGTTTTTTCCTCACCTCTTTCTTCTTATCTACAAAAGTTGCACTGATTGATCAAGAGAAGAGGAAAAAAAAAAAAAATCATTCAGTAAGAGAATTTTTCATATCTTATTTATAAAAGTGTTTAATATATTTATCTCGTCTGTTTAGATTACATGATAGTAAATGTTGTAGAATGTTCTTCTCTCATTTAATGAGAGGGATATGGTTTAACCTCCCTAAAATGCATGTTTCCTCTAAAACCAATATGAATATAATGCTGAATTTTACTCAATATAAGTTATTTTATTTGTTAAAATCATGAAATCTTTGATTTTATTAAAATTTGTTATTTGTTTTATTTTACATGGATTCATTTTTAAACAGAGCTTTTTGTCTAAGCATCCTGTGCTGTAGTAAATGGGAGATCACTCGTTTCTCATTGGTAGCATATTATTTTGAGATGGATATTTGATATATGATTTTTTATTCAACAGCATCAACCACAAAGAAAGCATGATCATGACATATTTTTACAGCTGCAATCTTTAGCTATTCTTTGGAATATGGTAACAGGTAGTTTGGCGATATTTTGGTAGGCGATAAAAGTTACTACCCTAGGACTTTGGGAATAATGTGGGAAGTACTCAGTTCCGATTACGCATTTTTTTGTGTGAGGGAAATGAGAGATCATGAGATATGTCATGTGACATTTATGGACGAATTACAGTTCTTTAATCGGAAAAGGGGGTGAATTTGGGAAAATATCTGCAGTACTTTATAGCATTTTGTATTTAGCTTCATCGTGTGTTGTGTGAAAGAGTGTTGATTAATTTTTGGATCCCATTGCCCTATCTAAAGTGAATTCAAAATTTTTATTCCGTTTATCGGATAATCCAAAAGAATTGCTTGAATGGTGTATGAGTGTAGGATTAATTGCGGATAAGTATGAATGTCACACATGTGGGAATGAAATGAGATAAGTTTGAATGGTGGTGCAAGAAATCTGGTGAAAATGGACATTTTGTGAAACGGAGTGTAAGGAAGGGTACGTGGTTTGCTGAAAGTCGTTTGAGTATGGGTGAAGTTTTATTAATTTCTTATTACTGGTAAATAGGCTGCCAGTTGATTACTGGATTTTGGATTTACAAATTAGCAGTAGTACTGCAGCCGATTGGAACTCTTTCTGTAGGAAAGTGTGCGTGGAATTTTGCGAGAATGATATGGGTATGCTTGGTGGTATGAATGTTATTGTTGAAATTGATGAAAGTAAGTTTGGGAAGCGCAAGTATCAGAGAGGTAGGAGAGTGGAAGGAAAATGGGTATTTGGTGGGATTGAAAGGGGTAGTAATAAGTGTTTTTATAAGGTTGTGCGAGATAGAAGTAAAGATTGCGTATTAAGTTTTATTAAGCAGTATATTCTACCTGGTACAATAATAATATCTGATTGCTGGAAGTCATATGCATGTTTAACCATAAGTATCATTCTAAAGATCCTGAAACAGGCGCACATACGAATACAATAGAGGGCACATGTAGTGCTATAAAAAGCGCTATTCCGAAGCATTATGATAAGGAGAATTTTGCTTTTTATTTAGCGGAGGAAGTATGGCGGAAAAATTCCCAGAAAATATCATTCAATGATTTTATTGAATCTGTAAGAAAAGTTTATCCACCATGCAATCAACATTCTGAAGAAGATTAGGTAAGTTAGTACTTTTAATCATTTGAGGATATTATCTTTATGCATTGTTCTAAATGTAAGGAATAAATAAATTAATATGGTATTATTGGAAAATTGTTATTAGCAATGAATTAGTTTAAAGTAATTAGGATTTTAAGCTAATTTTTATCAATTTAATGTATGTGCTTATTTTATATTTTAAGTAATGTTTTTTAATTTAATGATCGTGATTTTGTGAGTAATATGTTTGTCGCATTTTTGAATATGTTTGAGTAGAAGTAAATGTGCATGGAAATAATTTAAATATTTGACACTAAGTATTTGGAACCATTTTTAATGTTTGCGTTATAAATTGGCAGGTGACGTTTATAATAGATAATTTAGAGGGAAAAGTTTTTGGATATTTTATTTATTTTATACGTGAAAACGTTCATCCTTGGAAAGGGTATATACTTTTTCGCGATCAGGTAATTTCATATGTGTCCTTTTTACCGAATTTAAAGATTCATGAAATTTTCCTGCATTTTCGTGAAATTTTTCTAATTTATGAGAAAAAAGCAGTGTACATGGATATAGTGAAGAGTGTGCGCAATGCCATTTTTGTGCAATTCTGGGATGTTTAATTAAGTAAAAATAGGTCAACGTGTACATGGTTTAATTATATTTTAATTAAATGATAGTTATTTTGTGAATAATATGTTTGTAGCATTTTGAAATATGTTTCAGTAGAAGTAAACGTGCATGGAAATAATTTAAATATTTGACACTATGTATTTGCAAGCATTTTTAATGTTTGCGTTATAAATTCGTTCGTGCCGTTTATAATAGATAATTTAGAGGGAAAAGTTTTTGGATATTTTATTTATTTTATACATGCAAATGTTCATCCATGGAAAGGGTATATACTTTTTCGCAATCAGGTAATTTCATATATGTGCTTTTACCGACTTTAAAGATTCACAAAATTTTTCTGCATTTTCGTACAAATTTTTCTAATTTATGAGAAAAAAGCAGTGTACATGGATAAAGTCAAGAATGTGCGCAATGCCATTTTTGTGCAATTCTGGGATGTTTTTTTGAGTAAAAATAAGTCGACGTGTACATGGTTAGTGTGTATGTGCGATTCTGAAAAACGTGGCAAGCAATTTGCGATTCTGCACTTTCTCCCAATTTTGCAGTTAATATTCGTCATGATTAAGCAGTTTTGTTCAATAAAATTTCTAGCATAAGTGTAATTCGGCTAGCAGATTGTTGGAAAAAGTGTTGAGTAAATAAAAAGAAAAGAAACATGTCTTTATTTCGTTAAGACAAAATGGCGCCAAAAAAAAAGTTGAAGGGTTGCTGTAGCAGAGTTGGTCGCCAAAAAATCGTGAAGTTACCATTTTCCAAAGATTAACCCAATCTTTTTACATAGTGGGGCTGACCCCTTTGTGTTAGTTGCAATGATATTTATTTTAAAGAACTTCAAAATATTTTATTATGAACAAGTACATGTAGAGTCCTTTACATACACCCTTTCTGGTTGAGTAAAAATATAATTTATATAATGCCAAAACAGTTCACTTACCTGCTTTGATATCAAAACATTTTATACGAATATTGAAATATTACATTTAGCAAGTTTCATAATCTTACTTGAGGTTTTTGTTTTATTACAAATATAATATTTTAAGGCTAGCTTAACAATTAAAATTTTGGTAAAAGTATATTTACGGGTATTCCTTGGCAAAAATTGGTGGTGCATGGATACCGAGTTAGTGCAGTTCTTTGACTTGTTATTTTGGCCTTTTTGTAGCAGCGATTTTAGCGTTAAAAATCACCGCTATGCAAAGAAACAATAACAAGTCAAAGAATTGCACGAATTTGGTATCCATGTACACAATGACCTATTTCCACTTAAAAAAACACAGAATTGCACAAACTAGGCATTGTGCACTCCCTTAACTTTATCCATGTACACGTCGACCTATTTTCACTTAAAAAAAACATCAGAGAATTGCACAAACAAGTCAAAGGAGTGCCTAATTCTACAGTAGAGGCAAACAAAAAATACATAATCTCAATAAACTACATTTTAAACCCAAACAATAAAATAACATAAAAAAGGAAAAACCTCTTATACATCTAAGCACTATACGAAGCAAATATCCACTTACCTTATTTAGAAATTTCTTCGTCTTCAGTCCGTGGCACACTAAATTCCTTAACAGCATCCAAAAACTTCCTAAAATTGCCTGAACTCGAATCTGTATATCGGCATCGCCACAAAAATAAGAATTGAAAATATCCTCCGTAGTTTCGGACTGTCCAGAAAATGGCTACTAAGTAAACCTTCATTTACATACGAGTCGATTAATGGCTTAAAAATCGGCACTATGCAAAGCCAAAATAACAAGTCAAAGAATTGCTCAAACTCGGTATCCATGTACACATCAACCTATTTTCACTTAAAAATACATCAGAGAATTGCACACCCCCTTGACTTTGTCCAAGTAGATATCGATTCATTTTCACATGCAAAGTAAAAGGAGCAGCTAATTCTACACTAGAGCCAAACAAAAAATACATTATCTCAGTAAAATACATTTTAAATCAAACAATGAAATAACATAAAAAAAGGAAATTCATCTTATAACTACACATCTTATCCACTTACCTTATTTAGAAATTTCCGTGTCTTCAGTCAAACAAAATTCCCTAACAGCATCAAAAAACTTCCTAAAATTATCTGAACTAGAATCTGTATACTGGCATCGGTAGATAAATTCACAAAAATAACAGTAAAAAATAGCCTCTGTAGTGCTGGTATCCTCTGATGTTCAACCATACGCATTTCCTTCATACAAACAGGACTGATGGCTACTAAGTAAACCTTCATTTACACACCAGTCAATTAATGCTTTTTTTTCTCTTTCATTCCAAATTTTACAGAAACTTTAAATTAATCTTACCACACTCAGTCATTTTACCATGTAAACTACAAAATAACCATCCTATTTCCTAAGCAACATGTAGCACTCAAACAAGCCCTTAATCTTTTCCCATCATTCAAATTAACTGCAATCATACAACCAAATACATCATAATAAGATTTCCATAATATTCAACTACTCAAGTTATCAAAAATGAAAAAACTTTGCAATAAATGAAACAACTTCATGATAATCCAAGGGGCACCCTTCAATATACCTTAACCAAGCATTTTTTCTCTTGAAGAAACAGAATAGCTGCTTCTTCATCTGTTAAGAAATTTGAAGCTGTAAAATTCATAGTAGGGAAAGGGAGTGATTAAATTTGAAGTGTTGTCATCCAAGTGATAGTTATAAAGACTATCACTGGTAAAGAAGCCAAACC